TTTAGTTGAAAGTAAAGCAAATAATATTAGCTTTGCAGATGTCACAGTAATGCATTACGAAGCTGCTGACTGGAATAAGTTAAAAAAATTGGTAGAGGAGAATTTCCCCAAAATAAAAACATGGTTTGACTTCAGATTACTATCTATAAATTAAAAAAAAAAAAACAGTATACCTACCTTTTTGCAGTCTAACCTTCGGTCTTCCTGAATTTCAAAATATAGCTATGGGGAACGACACATATATACTACCTGAAAATAAAATTAAATATTTAGGGATAATAGTAGATAGCCACTTGCGCTGGGACAAACATACTCAATACTTACTCAACAAATTACGTAGTGTTATTTAAATTCATACAAGTATCACCAGTGCTAGAATTACCAATTTGTATCATAGCCTTTTCGAATATCACCTTAACTATGGAATAATTGGTTGGGATGGAGTCACTAAAACGCACTTAAAGCCAATCGAGATTATTCTAAAAAGTTTTTTAAAAATAATGCTCAACAAAAATAGAAGGTATCCTACTGAAAATGTGTATCAAAAAGCCCAGATATTTCACTTACGACAGTTATTTTATCAAGCAGCACTCACCCATCAATTTCAAAATCAAGTTGAACTACAAACAGCGACAATTATTTGCTACCTCGAATGAATAAATCAGTTGGACAAAGAGTTATCTGTTTTTGGGACTAAAAATCTTTAATAGCATTCCAACGGAGCTACGAGAAATAACAACAATAAACAAATTTAAAAAATATGTAAAAGAATTTATAACAAAAACACCGAGAACTTTTTTCTGTAATATAATCGAATAAAAAAAAAATAGAAATTAAATAATTGGAAAGTATATTAAAACGTTAAAGAATCTGAATATTTTTAACATGTTTTTCGTGTATGTAGAAGTAATGTTTGTTGTGTGAGGTATATCGAGGTATATTGTAAATAAATTTTATTTAATTTAATATCAAAAGTGTATAAAATTGTATTTATATAATTTTTATTTATATTAATAATATTGCATTTCCTAAGTTTTAATTTTTAATTGTCTTTGCTTCATGTTTTCAAATTCTTACTATTATATTGTTATATTTATTATGTTTTATTTATTATTATTTATCACACGCAATTTGTCATTGTGCTTTGTATAGTTTCTATTGGATTTTACTGTATCTGAATGTATATATTTCTGGTAAATAAACATTATTATTAATATTATTATTACACATATTTGAGGTTATGTAATAATTCTGATACTAATGCTTTTTTCTTCTTAAAAAGTAAGCAAAATTACGGTAACAAACAGCAGACAGAACCGTTCGTAATTTATTTGTGAATGGTAGTAGAAAAATAGAACAGTTAAATGGTGTACTGCTTATGCGCAGATAAATACAAGATGGTTCTATACTGCTGCTGTTCTTTATCCTAAAGTGTCAACTTGATTCTACACCGTAATTAACATTTTTGTAGAACATGCTTAGCAAAAACCTTTTAACCCACAAGCCAACACCAAAAATTATATGAAACTAATTTTTAAATTGTAAGCATTATCCAAAAATTGTCTTTAATTCAAAAAAATCTAGCTATAGCTATATTGGTACTATCGATCAAAATGCTGACGTTAATAAATTTCTTTTGTTGCAAATATCTCCATTTTATAGTTATGCTTTTGCTTATGACGGCAACTTACACAAAAATATTTATTATTGTTTTCCATAGTTTCATCTAAGTAAAACTTATTAAGTTCTAACATGTTAATTTTTAGTAGATTTAAAAGAGATATTACAAATTTCTGTAACTTCAGCCACAACTTATGACAACGTAATTAAAGGCAAATACATCAATGCAGAATATACTGGTACGAAGTAATCCAAAGTTTATTGCTGCTTCGGGAGACCAGTCGCTTTGATCCTAAAACCGCTCATAATAGACGACAGTGTTTTGTAGGAAATTTCGTCGGGATTTCTGAAGTTTAAGAAGAAATTTTAGAGCATGTTGAAGAAGATCTAGAATTAAACACCAGACCAATAGATAGGGAGCTAAGAGTATGTAAAGATGTTGTTCTAGACTGAGAGATAGCGACTGCGAGGTGTACCTCCAGCTGGAATTTTGTGAAGAGGTTGGCGAGACCTTCAGATAGTGTAATCTGTAAGGATTTAGTTTAAAACCTCTGCAAACGAGACGTTGTCAAAAATTATCAGCTAAACACACGATTGTACTCGCAGCTAAAAATTAACATATCACCTCTTTAAAGGTCACATGTAAGGTATTCCAATCTTTATAGAGCTAGGCCACCGCTAAAGGATTGTCAGACGTTCTTAAATTTGAAATTTGTTGTTGAAAATTACAATGCACATATTTGATTAGATAACTCAGTTAACATGCCTCGATAGCTCAGATAGTTAAGCATACAATGTGCGTTAAAATTTGCATTTCGGTTCAATTCCCGATGAAATCAATCTTTTTACTTTCCTATCTGTATACAGATATAAGGAAAGTATAGGAATCATGATTTTTTTCCACCTCGAGTTTTCGACGGATTTTTACGTTTTGATGTCCCCTGAATCCGTTTTGACTATTTTTCCGATGATGTCTCTGTGTGTGTGTGTGTGTGTGTGTGTGTGTGTGTGTGTGTGTGTGTGTGTGTGTGTGTGTGTGTGTGTGTGTGTGTGTGTGTGTGTGTGTGTGTACGTGCGTGCGTGTGCGTGGGTGTGTGTGTATCTGTGTGTGTGTGTGTGTGTGTGTGTGGTTGCGTGCGTGCGTGTGCGTGGGTGTGTGTGTGTGTGTGTGTGTGTGTGTGTGTGTGTGTGTGTGTGTGTCTGTGTGTGTGTGTGTGTCTATGTGTGTGTGTGTGTGTGTGTACGTGCGTGCGTGTGCGTGGGTGTGTGTGTATCTGTGTGTGTGTGTGTGTGTGTCTGTGTGTGTGTCTATGTGTGTGTGTGTGTGTGTGTGTGTGTGTACGTGCGTGTGCGTGGGTGTGTTTGTATCTGTGTGTGTGTGTGTGGTTGCGTGCGTGTGCGTGGGTGTGTGTGTGTGTGTGTGTGTCTGTGTGTGTGTGTGTGTGTCTATGTGTGTGTGTGTGTGTGTGTGTGTGTGTGTGTGTGTGTGTGTGTGTGTGTGTGTGTGTGTGTGTGTGTGTGTGTGTGTCTGTGTGTCTGTGTCTGTGTGTGTGTGTGTGTGTGTGTGTGTGTGTGTGTGTGTGTGTGTCTGTGTGTGTGTGTGTGTGTGTGTGTGTGTGTGTGTGTGTGTGTGTCTGTATGTCTGTGTGTCTGTGTGTCTGTGTATCTGTGTGTCTGCGTGTCTGCGTGTCTGCGTGTCTGCGTGTCTGCGTGTCCGCGTGTCCACTTGTCTGCGAGTCCGCGTGTCCGCGTGTCCGCGTGTCCGCGTGTCCGCGTGTCCGCGTGTCTGCGTGTCTGCGTGTCTGCGTGTCTGCGTGTCTGCGTGTCTGCGTGTCTGCGTGTCTGCGTGTCTGTGTGTCTGTGTGTCTGTGTGTCTGTGTGTCTGTGTTTGTATGTGTGTGTCTGTGTGTCGCATAACTCATGAACCGATACACAGAAAAACACAAAATTTTAAACTTAAGCTTTGTTCCAACGTCCAATGAACTGATTAGATTTTGAGCAGAGTCGGAACATCTGGGGAGATACTTTATGGGTAGTCATTTTTATATTTTATGGAATATATCTGTTATTTACGTTTGGGCAAGAACATTCTTTAAATAAAAGTTACTTCTTATATTATTATCTATAATTTTTGGTTTTTACAAAATTTTCCTAAAATGGTCCGTATTCGAGAAATTTGACAAAATGTAGAAAAAAAATTTTTTTTATAAAAATTGTTTAAATAAAAGTTGTTTGTAATATAATTTTCTATAATTTTTATTTCATACATAATTTTTCTAAAATGGACCGTAATCGAGATATTTGAGAAAATGTGTAAATATTGAATTTTGAAAAAATCTCAAAAACGAATAAAAGAAAAAAACATTAAATTTCAAACTTAAGTTTTATTTCGGCTTAAAGTAAAATGGTTAGATTTTGGATAGTCGGAACATCTGGCGGGTACTTTATGGGAGGCCGTTTTTATATTTTATGTAATATATCTGTTATTTATGTTTGGAGAAGAAAATTGTTTAAATAAAAATTACTTCTAATATTATTATCTATAATTTTTATTTTATGTTAAATTTTTCTGAAATGGTCCTATTCGAGAAATTTGACAAAATGTGCAAAATTATGATTTTTGAGAAAATTGTTAAACTAGAAGTTATTTGAGATATCGATCTCTATAATTTTTGTTTTCACATGATTTTTCTAAAATGGACCGTAATGGAAAAACTGGAGGAAAAGTGCTAAATTTAAATTTTTCAGTATTTTCGTTTTCAATGAATGTCTATAGAAACATGTTTCGAGTTAGATGTATGTGGAAAATGTATATATTTAGTTTATACTCTAAACATTTATAGAGGTGCTACAATAGGTTATACAAAATAACCAAAAAAAGCCTATAATAACTAGATAGGAAAGTCATGTGTGGGACACATCAGATTTTTTATTTTGGGAAAAATATGAAAATTTTAAAAATACGCTCTATTGTTGTTTATTTAGTTAAATATATTTTATTTATCATAATAATTATTATTATGATAAGTAAAATATATTTAAAATAAATAAACAATAGTACGTATTTTTTAAATTAATTTTTTTTTTTACAAAATAAAAAAGATTATATTTATCGGAAATGGAACCGCGGTCGTTACATGCAAATTTGAATGAAAAAAACTGGGGCAACGTATCCAAAATGAAGAAGTTATGCAAAGAATATGTTTTAATTTACTTTGTCGTATAAATCTTTATATGTATGAACAGTTTTTTAAAGTCTTAGTTACTTGCTTTCATGGTTTAGTAAATATATTTTATATTTTGATCGAAGAAATACCTATGTGGATGTTTTTTGTACAGACACCCATAATGAATAATGAGAGTAATATAAATAAAAACAACAGAAATAGATTATCTTTATTTGACATTGTACGCGCAATGGCTTTAAAAAATGATGAAGTAATTCTATACCATGACAAGACAGGTGCATTTGAAGTACAAAACAATTCTGGTTACTTTCTTCTTATTCGTAAACCAATGGAAAAAGAATCAAACGGTATAAAAATAAGTCAACCGATTCATTAAACAGCTGCAAAATCTTCTTTCTGAATGCGAACTTAAAGAATTTTCAATAAGCTTCTGAAATGCACTGTGTTTATGTGTGACTGTGATAGAATATCTTGAAGGAATGGTAATAAGATCATATAAAAATAACAACTGAAAAGTGTGGGTTATTTTAAAGACTTAATATATCGAATTCTGTAACCAACAGGTGGTTTAATCAAACCTTCTCTTATTTTAAACGATTTGATCAGTTTACTGGTTCCCCGGGAATATCGAAAGCATTTTCTCTGTTAGACTTTTTTTCATTTGCTGCTAGTTCTTCGTTTCTCTCCAACAAATCAATCGTACATTCGTTCAACATCAGCATTTGTTCAACAGTTGTTGTTGAAGATGGTGAATTGGAAGCTTGTAAAAATGGTATCTGTTCACCGTCTTCCGTTAATTTATTATAAGAAATTTCATCGTTACCAAAATCTTTTTCCTTAGATAGTTTGTTAAAAATTTCTTCGTCATCTTCGTCGATTACTCTTTGATCGATGAGTGATTTATCTTCAAAGGTTGATATACCTTTGAAAAGTATATTTGATTTATTTAATTGGTTGTATGTGATAGTGTCTTGTCGATCATTAACGTTTTGTTCATCACTAAGTAATTTATGTATGGTTTCTTTGTAGTGCATTTGTTGATCAATTATCTTTTTTTCTATAGATCCACTTTCTTCTTCATTGATAATGTTATCTTCGTTTTTTATTATTTCTGCAATTTCTTCATTATAGGTGCATTTATGAAATAGATTATTATCAGATATTAGTTCATAGACTATATTTTGGCAAACAGTGTCTTTGTTACTGACGTTATCCATGTTTGATCCAGGACTAGACATACTATTAATATTTTCAGCCAACTGTATACTAGGATTAGATATATTTGTGTCTTCTAAGCTTTTCTCAGATAATTGTACACTCGATTGAGGGCTCAATCTTTGTTCAGTACTGGATATAGAAGTTGTTGTTGGTTCTGCACTTTTAGTAGCCAATTTAATAAATACTCCAGAATTTGTATTATTTTCGGTGCTTTCCACATGTAGTACACATAATTTAGGAATAATTATTTGATCTCCAGTTTTAACTACAAATTGTTGCATAGTTGATCCAGAAATTGTTATATTTTCGACACTTTCTGATGTGAATATACTTGATTTTGATAAATCTGTTTTTTGACCCCTTATACTTGGTCCAGAAAGTTTTCTATTTTCCACATTTTCCGCAGGTGACAATGTTTGTAAACTTGGTCTAGAAAGTGTACTATTTTCGGTATTCTCCACAGTTACTTGACTTGATCTAAAACTGTTAATTTGTTCTTCACTTTTATAACAAAAATTTTGTATACTTGATCCAGAACTAGTTTGGTTCTGACCACTTTCTTTATTTAATATACTTGACCAGGATATGTTTGTTTGATCTCCATTCCTAACATTAAATTGTTGCGTAGAAATATCTGTTAAACTTGATCCACAAATATTTGTTTGGTCTTCACTTTTCACAGTCAATTTTCGTATACTTGACTCATTTTTGATACTTTCCGCAGTCGATTTAGTACTACTTAATTGTTCTCCACTTTTGACAGACAAATTTTGTATACTTGATCCAGAAGAACACCTTTTATCTTGGACACTTTCTGCAGTTATTATACTTGATCCAGAATAGTTTTTATGATCGTAACTTTGTACACTTAATTGTTGCCTACTATTTTCAGAAATTGTTATGTTTATTACACTATTTATATCCGGTATACTTGAGGCACAAATATTTAGTTGTTCACTTCTGGACTCATTTTTAGTACTTTCCACAATCGATTTAGTATTACTTAATTGTTCTCCACTTTTGCTAGACAAATTTTGTATACTTGATCCAGAAGAACTCCTTTTATTTTGGACACTTTCTGCAGTTAACATATTTGATCCAGAATAGTTTTTATGATCGTAACTTCGTACACTTAATTGTTGCCTACTATTTTCAGAAATTGTTTTATTTACTACACTATTCATATCCAGTATACTTGAGCCACAAATATTTAGTTGTTCACTTTTGGACTCATTTTTAATACTTTCCACAGTCAATTTAGTACTACTTAATTGTTCTCCACTTTTGATAGACACATTTTTAACACTTGATCCAGAAGAACTCCTTTTATCTTGTACACTTTCTGCAGTTAACATACTTGATCCAGAATAGTTTTTATGATCATAACTTTGTACACTTAATTGTTGCCTACTATTTTCAGAAATTGTTTTATTTACTACACTATTCATATTCAGTATACTTGAGCCACAAACATTTAGTTGTTCACATCTGATTGATCTAGAAATCGTGTCATCATTTTTTTCATTTTCTTCAACGAACATATTTGAATCAGAAATGTACCTATTTGTGACGCTTCCTGTAGAAAATATTTTTGATTCAGAATAATTTATTTGTTCTTCTATTTCAGAAGCTAATTGTCTTATACTTGTTCCAGATACAGCCCTATTGTAGCTATTTTCCAATATACTTGATCCAATTTTTGAAGATAATTGTGTACTTGTACTATTTTGGATACTTTCTTTAGTTAATGTATTTGATCTAGACATATCAATTTGTTCTTTACTTTTTACAGTTAATTGTTTTACACAATTTCCGATACTTTCCGTGGTTAATATACTTGAGTTAGAAAAATATGGTTGATCGCCATTCTTTGGAGCCAATTGTGATATACTTGATCCGGAATTGGCTCCATCTTCCAGATTTACTTGTTCGTTACTTTTGGAAGATAATTTATGTACGCTTGATCCAGAAGTCGTTCTATTTTCTATATTTTCTGTAGGTATTATTGAGCTTAGTCCAGAGATATTCGTCTCTTCTTCACTTTTGGCAGTTATTTGTGGCGTACTTGATCCAGAATTATTCATATGCTCATTTTCCAAATCAGGTATACTTGACCTAGGACTTTTTATGTTTTCTCCATTTTTGGTGACCAACTGTGCCAAACTGGTTGCAGAAATTGTACCATTTCCGACACTTTCTGAAGTTATTATACTTGCTCTAGAAAAATATGCCTTTTTGTCGCTGTTTGGTGCCAATTGTCGTAGACTTAATTCAGAATTTGTTATAATTTGTTGAATGTTTGATGTAGACATTGTTCTATTTTCGACATCTAGTTTAATTGGCTCAGATATATCTGTTTCTTTTGCTAATTGTTGTACGTCCCCAGCAAGTATAATTGATTTAGATATATTTAGTTTTTCTCCACTTTGAAGTGACACTTGTCGTAAACTTATTCCAGAGATAGTTCTATTATCCGCAGCAAATATGTTTAATCCAGAAACTTTCGAATCTTCTGTATTATTTGACCCAAATTGTCGATTTGATCCAGCAATCGCACTATTTTGTTCAATGTTTCCAGATAATGTACTTGATCTTGAAACATTTACTTGTTCTTTAATTTTGGCAGCTGATTGTTGTGCAATTGATCCAGAAACTACTCTCTGTTCGGCATTATCAACTGCTAGTATTTCTGATCCACTTTCGAGAATAATTTGTTGTGTACTGGGTCTATAATTGGACTTGTTACTTAATATACTTGATTTAGAGCAATATGATTGTTCGCCGCCCCTTGGAACCAAATTTCGTATACTTATTCCAGATATCGTGTTGTTTTCTGATTTTTTTTCAGCTAGTATGTTTGATACAGAAACATTTAATTCATCTCCATTTTTTGCTACCAATTCTCGTATACTTGCTTTAGTTATTTCATTACTTTTGACAACGTCCTCAGCTAATGTATTTATTCCTGATATATCAGTTGATTGTTCATCTTGTTTCGCTGTCAACTCTTGTGTACTTGATCCAGAAAGTCTTCTGTTCTGTACATTTTCTGCAGATACTATACCTGATCCAGATATAAGTTGGTAAACTATGTTCTCGCAAAGAGTATATTTATTACCGATTGAAATATTTTCCATATTTTCGTCATAAAGTTGTTGTGTCATAATATCGACATTTTCAGCAGCCACTATACTTGGATTAGAGATATTTGTCTGCTCCAATCTTTTCTGAGACAATTGTCTTATACTTGACCCAGAAATAGTTTTATTTTCAATGTTTTCTGCAGGCAGAGTATTTACCATAAACGTATTTGTTTGAATTGAATTTGTTCCATTTTCGACACTGTCTGAAGTAAGTGTACTTGTTCTAGAAAAATATGCTGGTTCTCCAATTTTTGGAGCCAATTGGCGTAAAGTTAATCCAGAAATTGTGCTCCTGTTGTCATTTGTTTCATTTATAATGCTTGATATAGAAACATTTGTCTGGTCTCGATTATTTGCTGCAGGTTGTCGAATGCTTATTCCAGAAATATGCGCATTCTTCATACATTCCGAGGCCAACATACTTGATCTAGAAATACTGGTTTCTTCTCCATTGTTTGCATCTAGTTTCTGTGTATTTAATCTAGGAGTAGTTTCTGCAATTGATATACTTGTTCCAGAAACATTTGATTGCTTTCCATTTTTTGCTATCAGTTGTCGTGTACTTGATTCGGAAACCATACTATTTTCGTTAATGTTTCTGGCTAATATACTTGATCTTGAAATGTTTGTTCGTTCTCCACTTCTAGCGTTCGTTTGTTGTATACTTGACCTGGAAAACCTACTATTTTCTACATTTTCTGTAGCTAGTAAATTTGAGTCACATATATTTGTTTGTTCTTCAGATTTTGGTATGCTTGATCTAGAATCCTTCTCAATTTCTACATTTATCGCATCTAATACAGATGATCTAGAAGCGATTTGTTGTTCTACATTTTTTCTATTTAAAATACTTGATCTGGATATATTTAATTGTCCTTTACCTATAGAATTAGATATAGTTTCGACACTTTCAGCAACTAACATACTTGATCTAGAAATAGTTGTTTGTTCCACAGTTTTCTCAGCCAGTAATCGTATATTTGATTTAATAATAGTTTTATTATCTTTATCTTCAGCAATTATTAAATTATTTAATTGTTCTTGACTTTTAACACTCAATCGTTGTGTACTTGATCTAGTTGTTCTATTTTCGACATTTTCAGGTACGTTGGAACTAGAAATATTCATTGAATTTCTATATGTAACACCCATATGTTCTGTACTCAATTGACAAACTGTCTGATTATCCATATCTTCTAAAATTGATCCAGAAATAGTTGATTGTTTGATATTTTCATCTTTTAATCTTTGCGTACTTGATCCTGATATAATATTTGTAACATCTTTGTCAGCTACTATATTCGACATAGCAATGCTTGTTTGTTCTACACTTTTGGCAAACGGTTGTTCTGTAGTTACTTTAGAAATACATCTATTAAGAAAACTTTTTGCAGCCAATATACCGGTTCTAGATATATTAGTTTCTTCCCCATTTTCAGCAGACACTTTTTGTGTACTTGATTTAGAAAACGATCTATTTTCAAACATTTTTGCAGCTGTCATACTTGGTATAGAAATATTAGTTTCTTCTTCATTTTGATTCGACAACTGTTGTGTACTTGACCTAGAAACTGCTCTATTTAGTAAACTTTCTCCGTATAAATTACTTGAACTATAAATATTGGAGTTTTCTTGGGTTTTCACAGCTGATTGAGGATTACTTGATTTGGAAGCAATCATATTATCGAAAGATACTTTTTCATTATTTTTAACAACTTTTTCTGATGTACTTGATTTATAATTAATTATATTTTCATTATTTTCAAGAGTTTGCCTACTAGATCCAGACATAACGGATTTTTCGTCACTTATATGTTGTGTTCTTGATCCAGAAATACTAGGCGTCCTTTTTTCGCCATCTACTTGGTGTGTACTAGATTTAACTTTATTAACCACCAATTGACGCACGCTTTGTCCAGATATCGTTTTTATTTGACCAATTTTATCTTCTAATTGTTGCATACTAGATCCATAAATGTCTCCGGCTCTTTCAAGATTTAATTGCTGAGTACCGGACGATGAAGAAATCGAAGTCTGTTCAAAACTGTCTCTATATAAATGTTGAGTAGTAGATTCACAGATCGATTGTTCAAAGAGTATTTTGATATCTTTATCTTCTTGTTTTTTGTTATTGGTAATATATTTATCAGAATCTTCTTCTACGTGTTTTTCTTGCCGGCAGCTTTGTTCACATCCTTCGTCAGAGATTTGGGTTCTAATAGTATCAAGTTTGTTAATTATTGAATCTGTTAAATTAGTTTGTTCATTGAAATATTTGTTTTGGGTAATTGGATCTTCGGTTTTTTCATTCTCTTCTTTTGTTACATTTTTATGAGATGATTGTTTATGTAAGTTGAATATTCTAGCTGATGAAGACTGATTGTTTATATAAGGTTTTAATTCTGTAGATAACTGTTGATCCGCTTTGATTTCCTGATGTGACAGATCGTTCATTTGTCCTTGAGCTCGATTACTAGTCTTAGAAGCTGATAGTATCCGATTTGTAGCAGTACTACTAGTTCTAGATCTGACTTTAGACGATGTATTGATAGTATAAGTATTAGTTATTGACTCTTTATTTCTAAGAATGTCACAAATTGGGTCAGTAACTCTCCCTTTATCGGAAATCATATTGTCTTTGGAGTTGCTGCTATCAGTCTTCGAAGAATGGTATTCAGAACTTCGTTCTTTTGGAATAAACGATCTGTTACTAGTATTAGAGTTAGATCCCATAGAAATTCTGATACTACCATTAGGTGTAGCTATTTCTGTAAAAATTTTGTCACTTGATACATGGCTGCTATTCTTAGAACTCACTTTATTTTCCTTAATTTTATCATTTACTATTATCGCCTCCCTAGAAGCTTTTTGTTGTTGAACTTGATTTTCTTTTGATTTTGAATCTTGAACTGTTTTAATTAAGTTTACTGCTTCTACAGACGGTTGATAGGTCACCTTGACATTAAACAATTTGTTACCACTAACTATTTGTTGAACATTAGATAAGTTCTCATCGGACATTTGTTTGATTTCGATTGAAATTTTAGCACCACTATGATGCAACGAATCAAATATTTCTACCGTTGGTTCAAACGGTATCTCTTGTTCCAGTTCTTTTTCTTGCTTGTTGCCATTAACTGATTTATGTTCTGATTTCTTTTCAACCATTTTGACGATCTTTTCGAGTAAGTTTTTGAAATAGACGTCCATCTCTGGATTCTGAATCGATTCTATCCGACCCAAAGATTGAAGATATTGGTACATTACATTTTGGTCAGAAGAGTCTTTTTCGTCTGCTGCCTCCCCACCAGCAAGAATGTTTTCCTGAAAATTATACAGAAAAACAAGTAATGCCTGCAATTATATGAAGTGATCCACAAAACATGTTTTCAAAGCAGCAAATATTCATGCAAGTCAAGTTTCAATTTGAATATAATTCAGAGCCTTTTGTAGTTATTACGGACGTAACTCAATCTTTGTCAGTTATGACCTACTTTTAGTCTGATCAAATGGTGTTCAAAAGTGCCTGTTACGTAACATGATTGCGGTAGAAAAAAACCAATTCTATCAACTTTTGTGAAAACTACAAGAAACTCACTTTTAGACGTATGTAATGTGAAAAAAGCCACTCTACGTAAAAAACTCGTAGATCAAAAGATGTAAAGCATAAAATTTTGCATTTAGTGAGCATAGAAATTTTAAATTTGGATCTGTATATACGCATATACTGATCATTTCTTCATTGTCCCATCATTGCCACTATTGGTAAGGCTTTATAGTAAATCTAGGCATTCCGGGAATTGACGGATGGAATGGTTTCATAGAGAAGGTGGCCAGAGCGATACCATATGAAATAACTTTCATTGACTGCCAGCCATTTATCAATGCACCTCCAAGCGATACAATATATAAATCACTGTTAACTGCTGTTCAGAGTACACAATTCTGTTATCCTGGACAACAAACAACGTTTGTTACGTTCGATCAGCCCCTATACCTCAAGGCGCGAGATGTCATAGAAAGCCGTGAGGGAGATCCTGAGTTACGTGGCGTGGTCGTAAGGCTTGGATGGTTTTACTTACTCATGTCGTTTATAGGGGCAGTGGGTTACATAATGGAAGGCATAACTGAACTGTTCAATACTGTGTATGCAGTTAAGAACACTAAGGTTATGACAGGATTCGCTTACTCCAGGGCTCTCAAAGGGCACACTTTGACTGTTACAGCCCTAGGTAATTTGATAATGGATTCCATCAATTTCCCGCCCTCATTTCACTTTGAGGTTAAACAGGTTTTGTACAGTGGAGATTTAAGTGAGCTGCTCAATACACATAAAGAACGATGGGGGAAGAAAATTGAGCAATTGTTTAAAGCCCAGCTCAAACATCTTGCCAATCTGAGGCCCACTGCAAAGTTGTGGGTACTTATAACTTCTTATTACATCAACATAATACTTATAAATCCTCAAGTCAGACTTGCAATAAAAGGAGGGGAAAAGAATGTAGTGTTTGGAAGGGAGTTGGAGAGAGAGGTACTTCAATTTAGGATTTAAAGAAGAGGTTTGAGAGGTGGGGGTTCATATTGACAGCGCAGAGTTTTTATTGAAACCCTGTATATTGGTCAAATAGGCGTTGAGAGGGAAAATTAAGAAATTATCAGTACATGCCTATATATTTAATGCTTCACAACTTTTGTTATACGAGTTTTTCACGTAGAGTGGCTGTTTTCACATCACATATCTCTAAAATAAGTTTCTTGCAGTTTTTACAAAAGTTGCTAAAAATTGGCGGTTTTCGATTTACAATAGTGACGAAAATTTTTTGACGCAAAAGGACCCCGCACGTTTCTTATGGAAATTGAATTTTGGTCAAATGTTTTGAAATTTTCAGAATAGTTTCTTCAAGTCATGCCGAGCAAAAGTCTTCATGGGCACAAAGTGCCTAGATGCTTTGGAGCCAAGATATAAGCAATGGAAAGTTGAAAAACGCGTTGTTTATGTCAGACACCTATAACACAGCCCCACAAAAACCAAAAAAAGGATTTACAGGAGCGAGTTATAGATATGTATTCCCATGTATTTTTCGACGCTAAATCCAATCTCGAACTCAGAAATGGTCCTCCACGTCAGGAATTGGCCCCATGGGCCAAAAATGGCCTTTATATGGCCTGAAAGGTGGATTCCGGATTGAAGCATGATTGAAGGTGGATTCTAAAGCCAAAGTGAAGTTTGTAGTCGAAAAGTTCACGGCCAACTGGAATTCCCGGTTTGGGACCGGAAAAATGGCCCCTTCGGGGCCGGAAAATCGTGTTTTGGCCGTTGAAATCACGACAGCGCTATTTTTCTGTACTTTTGAACTCTAGAATGACTACCGTGCTCGAAATGTTTATGGCCAACTGGAATTCCCCTTTTGGGACCAGGAAAATGGCCCCACAGGGGCCGGAAAATCGTGTTTCGGCCGTTGCAATCGCGACAGCGATATTTTTCTGTACTTTTCAATTCTAGAATGAATACCATGCTGTAATTGTGTTTTTTTCTCTGAAGTCCATAATAGAATATTGTATAATTTAAAAGACCCATTCTCAGCTAAACCCAAGATGGACGACGTGGAGGTGATGGGCTACTCATCTCATTGGAGTGCTTGTTTATCGTGAGTCCCCTTGCCTCTCACTAGTAGATATTTTTTATAGGTTTGACAGTAGAGATAAGAACCCCACCCTTCTTCACTCTCGAAGCGTATTATGACTCCAAGCCCTCTCTACTGTTTCTCTCTCTACTCTCTAATTCTTGTTTAATGTTGTACTCGCTCTATGTACTGACACTGTTGCAGTCGATCCTGACGTGGCTGAGGTCAGTTGTTACCAGATAGTGGAGTCGTAGCCGGTAGGCCTGTTTTGGAGATATTAGATGATACTCGTATATGTAATAATTGCAATATCTCGATCATAAATGAAATTCGTATGATCGAAAATGACCCGGCTTGCATGAGACTCAATGTTTTGACCCAAACATCTTCAAGTACCTGTTTAATATGCAACTCCCCTCATGACATTCAGGGCTGTCATTAAAATGTAGAATTGATATTTTTGTTAAGCTGAATATTTATGTTCCAAGTAATTGCTTATCCTGCCACCATCATATGGATGTTAATGGATTGTTATTAAATAATTTATTACGTGGATTAAGATCTGTCAACAGACCGTATATTTTAAAAGGAGCAGATTTGTATGCATTCTTACAGGGTTTTCGTGAACAGGTAAATTATATAGCAAATCACAAAACCTGTTTTACAGATGAAGAATTTCAAACAATTTCCCCAATAAACAAAGAACAGTATAATGAATTTTATACTTATTGCGATCCTATAATAATTGATAATAGTTATGGATATGTTCACAAGAAGAATCTTTTATGTTTTCTTTACAAGATGAGGCAAGGTGTTAGCGATGAATTCTTGAAAGTAATTTTTAATTATACTTCAAGACAATCTACCAGTTTAGCAATCAGCATAGTAAGGCAGTCACTGACTCTAAGATTTACTCCAGAAAATATAGGATTTGGAGCTGTTACGAGGGAAGAATATATTGCGAATCATGTCACTGAATTTGCGACGCATTTATATAATGAAATACCTGAAGAGCCAAAAGCAATAATCTACAATGATTGCACCTACCTTGATATTGAAAAAAGCTCTTGTTTTGAAGTTTTAAGACGTTCGTATTGTGTTCATAAAGGTAGACATCTTCTGAAGCCAGCAATATTTGTTGCTCCAAATGACTATATATTGGATATACAGGGTCCATACTCTTCTAACGCAGCCAATAATTATGCAAATATTTTAGCTAACCGTTTAAGTCGAGATGAAGATATAATGCGTAACTGGCTACAAGAAGGCGATAGTTTCATATTAGATAAAGGGTATAGAGATGTGATCCCATTACTCGATAGATTAAGAATCAATTACAGAATGCCGTCATTGCTAGATCGAGGGAAGAGACAGTTTACAACAGAAGAGGCAAATCTATCGCGAATTGTAACTAAAACAAGATTTGTCATTGAATCTCGTAATGGACATCTGAAGAATATATTTAAGATATTCGCACATGTCATAAATGTAGCCCATGTTAAGACGTTAAATGATTTTTTATTGATTGGTGGAGCAATAAAATCGATACTATGGACCTACTGATTTGGTTAATGCAACTGTTGAACTAGCATTACGAATGCGAGAAGAAATAAATGATGTAAATGCAGTTCAAGCCTTTGTAGAAGTTAAAAATATGCAAGCAAGACGAGCAAGATGGGTTATATTAACAGAAGGACATTTCGTCGTTGCCGCGGTGAAACCTCCCATGTAATATTTTATAACATTTTTAGATTTTTGTACCAGTTTATAGAAACTAACATTCTGTACAGTTTAGCGAAACCTCCCATGTAATTTTCTTTTAAAATATTGTGATTTTAGACCTACCTCACTTGTGCATAATACGTATAAGGCATCTGAACAAAATTGTTACGTTTTTACGTCTACTAAAACTTTTGATTAAATGTACATAGGAGATTTCACCGAGACAACTACGATTTGGGATTATTTCCTCGATTAAGTATTGAAAATATTAGGAATATAGCTTGTGGGGTGTATCAATTAAACTTTGCTCCTTCATACATCCAAGATAGTTTATTAAGAGCAGTTGAAGAGGAAGATGAAGAACATGCAATACAAATAGATACGAATATTAATCTACCCGGCTTTTAAAGGTTACGACTATTTTCTCGCTTTCACAGAGCTATTTTTCACCAAGTTTTATTGCTTTTAATTAAGAATACGTGGAAAATGAAGTGAATGAGTTTGATTCTATTGAGGGGTATTATTGCACATGTAAGTCGAGTGCACGGACATTAGGAGCTTGTTCTCATGTGATCGCAGCAATTTGGTAATTGGGGTGGGCTCGTCATCAAGGGTATGTAAAATATCCGTCTATTCAGGTTTTAGAGCGAGTCCTAGATGTTGGGGTTTAATTTAAGAAGCTGTAGATAAGAAAGACAGTAGAGAGGGTTTGGAGTCATAAAATACTTCGGGAGTGACCAACCGTGGGGTCCTTATCTCTACTGTCAAACCTATGCAAAATATCTATTAGTGAGAGGCAAGGGGACTCACGATAAACAAGCACCGCAATGAGATCAGTAGCCCGTCACGTCCACGCCGTTCATCTTGGGTTTAGCTGAGAATGGGCCTTTTAAATTATACAATATTCTATTATGGACTAAATATTAAGTATTATAACTAGTATAACTAGAATACTGAATATTACTCATCACAGAAAAAAAAACAATTCCAGCACGGTATTCATTCTAGACTTCCAAAGTAAAATACCACTGTCGCGATTGCAACGGCCGAAACACAATTTCCCGGCCCCTAAGGGGCCAGTTTCCTGGTCCCAAACGGGGGATTCTAGTTGGCCATAAACATTTCGAGCACGGTAGTCATTCTAGAATACAAAAGTACAGAAAAATAGCGCTGTCGTGATTTCAACGGCCGAAATACGATTTTCCGGCCCTTGAGGGGCCTTTTTTCCGGTCCCAAACCGGGAATTCCAGTTGACCATGAACTTTTCGACTACAAACTCTACGTTGGCTTTAAAATCCACCGTCAATCATGCCTCATCCCGGAATCCACCTTTCAGGCCATATAAAGGCAATTTTTGGCTCCTGGGGCCAATTCCTGACGTGGAAGACCATTTCTGAGCTTGGGATCGGATTCAGCGTCGAAAAATGCATGGGAATACATATGTCCCACCCGCTCGTGTGAACCCTTTTTTTGGTTTTTGTGGGGCTGTGTTATAGGTGTCCGACAGATAAACAACGCGTTTTTTAACTTTCCATCGCTTATATCTTGGCTCCGAAGCATCTAGGCACTTTGTGCCCATGAAGACTTTAGCTCGGCATGACTTGAAGAAACTATTCTGAAAATTTAAAAACATTTGATCGAAATTCAATTTTAAATAGAACGACATTGTTCGTACGATGCATTGTTTCCATGATATAAGCGGAAAACCAGAAAAACTCCGAAAATTTCGAGGATTTTTGCGTTTTTCGACCTGAAGTGGCACTGCTACGGGGCAGCAAACTTCTGATTTGTGTTCAGCACCCCAAAAAATATATAATTCTGTTGAGAAACTCTCTACCGCTTTCATGTAACCTAAAAACTACCATTTGATCAGGCTGTTTAAAAATATTTTTTTGCGGATTTCTCTTTACTAAGTTGTATGTAATACTTACTACACCAGACGTGAGATTGAGCTTCTTGAACACTTCCATAATCCTAGATTGTGCATCTGTAGGCATGCTCAATGATTGTGGTAGATAATTTTTCATCACTGAAGACGATGGTCCTGAAAACGTATGCCTACGGGTCATCTTGAATTTTTCTTCAGCCAGTCTTTTTCTGATAAACTATAAAATAATAATAATAATTGATAGAGTTCTGTATCTGTAAGAAGGAGAAGGATGGGTTGCCCCACTGTACTTAGGCCTAAGTAGGCTTATTGTGCATCCTCTCAGAGCAAATAGGACCTGCCTCTTAGCTCGTCAGAGTCCTGCAGTTATTTGTTTGAAAATAAAACCTAGATACTAACTTTGGGTATTTTATTGTTGTTTTTAAATTGCTTCGGCATCTCTGGCTGTCTAGGAGCAGGTCGTATCGTGAAACGTATAAACTGCGATTGTTTGCTCTTAATCTGATTATACAAAGGTAAATGTTTTTCCCGTTCTATTGTCTGCTTATTCTTAATATCGGCGTCTCGTTCTCTAGCAATCTAAAAATCGAAAGATTTTTTTAATAATTTTTGCTCTATTTTTTTTTTTAACTTTTTTACCGATTTAAATGTATACATCGGTGGGATTTGTGATTGAACTGAATGACGAGATGATGTACCAATTTTCTTTGAAGCCTTGGCTCTCTCGCAAGACATTTTCCGTTTTAGAGCTATATAGCTGTGACGAGAAGCAACGACTTTGAAGTACTAAAAAATTAGAAATTTTATTCAAAATTCAACATTCTGTTACATTCACTTAGAGTTTTCTGCGTGTGAAATTAGTTTTTACAGGCGGATTAATAAGATTAAGACAAATGTTAATAGGTAAGCATCAAATTATATAATTAAATTTATATGCGACACTAAGCTAGATATTTGAGACCCTACTCTTATTTCTTTCTTTTCTGTATTCCGTTTTTATTATTTAAACATTCTGTGGCAAATGGACACCGTCCGAAGCCATATCTCTCACACAACACAACAAATTATATAAAACAAATTCCAAAAAATTTATATAAAAACTCTGACACTTTTTTAACGCAGATATACAGAATCCGTTAAAAACGTCTGTTATTATGCAATGAAAACTATTGGTATTTGTTTATTGTTATTCAGTGTTACAATGGGACTCGTGGAAAACCAATATCGTAATGGTTGAAGGAACTAAAAAAGATCTACGCACAGCAGGAGTTATTAATTGGCAAGTACAGTATAATGGAAAATGGAGGTAAATTATAGAGAGTAATGTCCAAAATACTGGGATAGGTTTACTCAAAATATATTTTTTACTAGTCATAACTGACTAACCGACAATTTTAATCTAAAAATCTTATAAATTAATTACTTATCTAAGAAGTCCCCATTGGGGAATTCTTTCTATAGGAAAGCATCAAAAGTTGGCGTGACGATTTATTACACTGTTTTACACTAGCACTAACATTAGGGTTTACTGCACTAGCTCAAATGGCTTCTTCCTTTTGAGCCTTCTGTTGAGTGAAGAGTTGTCCAGTAATTGCAGCGCTTCTTTTTTGACGTGGAAGTAAAGTCCACCCTCATGTTTTGTAGCAAACTTCTTTTTATTTCCTCTTCGATTGTTGGCATCTTCAGGTCTCTATGATGATAATCGTTTCGATAGAACCAAGGTGCATTAACAATGCATCTTAAGACTTTATTTTAGAAAACTTGTATCATGTTGATATTACTCTTGCTAGCACGTCCCAATAGCTGTATGCCATAAATCCAGATTGGTTTTAGGATTTTTTTATAAATCAGCAGTTTGTTGTGTACTGACAATTTGGAAGTCTTACATCAAGGTTCATCCCTAGGTATTTGGCCGAATCGTGGTGGGGAATAACATCATTGTTTATTCTTATTTATTTTTGTTTATTTGGTCGAAGAGTAAAATCAACATGCACTGATTTAGTTTAATTGATTTTTATTTTCCACTTTTTCCTCCATCGATTAATTCTGTTGCAGGTTTCCTGAAAATTTTCTGAGATATCTGTATTAATTCCGCTAACTGGCAATATTGCAGTGTCACCCGCAAACGTTGCTATTTTAACAGATTGTTGTTGAGGTATATCTCTGGTGTATAAGAAGTAAAGAAGCGGTCTTAGCACACTGCCTTGTGGAACACCTGCTTTAATTTCTTTTATTTCGAAGTATGCCTCGTCTTGCTTTACTCTAAACATTCTTCCCGTTAGATATGATTGTAGAATGTAGACATTATTTAGGGAGCATTTTTCAAGTTTCTGTATTAGGCCAGCCTGCCAAAACTTGTCAAATGCTTGGGCTACGTCAAGAAATATAGCTGAGCATATATATTTTTCTTCATAAGCTTTTTTGATGATATCGGCTATCCTGTGTACTTAATCTATTGTCGAGTGTTTGTTTCTAAAACCAAATTGGTGCGAAGGGATCAGATTTGTATTTTCAATTATTGGTTTTTGTTGTTTTAGTAGTAGTTTTTCAAATAACTTAGATATTATTGGTAACAATGATCATAGGCGCCGAATCCTCGGGGCTCTGGGTGCGCAAGCACCCAAAGCTGTTTGAAACTGGGTGCGGAGCACCCATAGCACAACGTGGACAAAAAATGCCAATAAGTCAAATGAAGAAGCTATTGTGACCCAAGTTGTTACACGGAAAAAAAATTGTAGAACAAATTTCTACAATTGTAGATTTTTTCTCTACAATAAATAGTAAAATGGTAAAATTTGTAGTAAAATTTTCCAAATATTTGTGGAGAATGTATTGTAGAGTTATTATCTACAATATTTAGTAAAAATATCCAAATGCATCATAAGAATTGTTCTACAAATTGTTATAATTTTTGCTATTCATTGTATGAATTTATATTAAAAAGGTATTGCGTTTTATGAAAATAAATACGAAAATTTTACACAATAAATAGTAAAAATTCATATAAATTGTAGTAATTTTTAATAAAATTTGTAGTAGTATTCCATAATTATTATAATTATAACCTAGAAAAAAATGTTCCTTAATAAAATATTCAATTTATTGTTAATATAAAAGATACAAATTCTTAATTACATTATGTAATAAATAACAGTAATAATAGCGCCCTCAGTCTCAGTTGGCTTTTCTGCACCTGAAAAATATGAAATAAAAATTAATACCAATTGAACTGTTCATACCCTTAAAACGGGGATATTTATCACCTTTACACTGATTTGGATATTAAATGACTAAGTCAGATAACTAACAAAAATGAGAAAGTAGGTATGTCACAATTAAGACAAAAAAATATCATTGAACTTGACACAAAATTCGATCGTTGGGCACAACATTCGATCGTTGGCCACAAATATTTTTTTAAAATAATCTACTAAGGTTATTTAAATTAGATATCTAAAGGTAAATTATTCAGAAACAATATTAAATGTACTTACCACCAATAGAATTTATTATTAAAATTTTCTCAAACGCATCGGTGCTTATAATAATGTGTTATAGGTAATAATATTTTTATTGATTTTTTCAGCTCCAGATTAGTCAAAAACGACCTATAAATCGTTTAAAACCGATCAAAATAAGATTTACTAGATTATAAACCACCATTATGAAAAATAGCCGCCATATTGATTCATAATCAAAAATTGGGCTTGCCCTCCGGGTCAAATCCCTTAGAATGGCCTTAAAAAGGTTCCTGCAAAATTTGGTGCTTTTAGACTAATTTGCCGAATTCTGGCCTTTTTTGGGATTAACCGCGGCAACTATTAAGAGTTTATTATTCTTGGTGTATAAAACCTTAAATAAATGGTACGGTAAATCGTCACAACTGTCGTTATTGGTCCGATTCAAATCCCAGAATATTTAATGAAATGCATACACAACATCCGGAAAAAATGAATGTTTTGGTTGGCATTTTTGGTAACCGTATAACTGGCCTCTTTTTTTACCTGGAACGCAGACATGTATCTGGAATTATTAGAAAACGTCATTTATCCAGCATTACTAGGGTTGATTGAGAATGACGATCAGTACATAGCAAACAACTTAATATTCCATCAAGATGGTGTGCCACCCCATTTTGCAGTGACTTTTCGTCAGTATGTGGATCAAACGTTTTCAGGTCAATGTATCGGAAGAAGAGAAAGTATTGAGTGAGTGGCCCCCACGGTCTTCGGATCTAACTTTTTTTAATGAGGCCACTTTAAAACTAAAATTTATGCCACCCATCCAACATCACTGGAAAATCTGTGACAAAGGGGGCGTCCATTAATTATGTAAGGTAATTTTGAAGATTTTTTTGGCCCCCCTTCTCCCTAGTGAGATTTCGTAAGATCATCCTTAACTCTTCCACCCCCCTTCACCTCCCCCCTTCTTCACCCACCTCCCCACTCCCTCCCATTCCCCTTCCTCTCCTCTCCTCTCCCCTCCCCACCCCTCCCTTTGTGTTTCGGGTAGGGTGGTCACCTTTTTGAAAAAAAAATCTTCCTCTTTGTCTTGTCGAGCTTCTAAAAAAAAAGGTCCTCAACGTATGTGCGCTGTTACTCAAACTCAAAAAAACGGCACATCTATCATATGAAAAGAAGAGGGCATTTGCCGTAAAAAGGACATTTTAAGCTTTAAGTCACAAGGATATTTTGCTTTTAAACTGGACTGTCCTGTTCAAAAAAGGACAGGTGGCAACCCTAGTTTCGGGTGTAAATGCGTTGGAATTAAAAAAAAAACAAAACACAATATGTTCTATTACTTTTATTTAAGACTAGCTAGTATTTGAGAATATTGCCGTAATATAAAATTTCTATAAACATTCTTTACTTTGATTTAACTTTACTTTCACGCAATTTTACATCGTTTTCTATTAGAAAAAAATAACGTCAGATTTACAAAGACCCCCCTCTACCCCAAGTGAGATTTAGAAAGATTTAGCTTGAACCCCTCCCCCCTTGAACACCTCACGTAATTAATGGACGCCCCCAAAGGATAATTGATGACTATCATCAAATCACCCCACAGATGCTTTAAAATCTCCGAGAGCGTTTTGAACAAAACCTCTATTATTGCATGGAGGCCCAGGGTCAGCATTTCCAGCATTAACTCGAATAACTGTTAAGCTTTTACAGAAAATAAAAATCGTTAAAAGATTATGGCTAGGAAGACAGTAGCGATTTTAAACTCTATGTAAAAATATCTTCAAAATAAACTTTCCATTTAAGATTTTAGGAAAAAGTTTCACCCCGCTAGAGGGTTGCCGTTCATGGGATAAAACTAGCAAAAAAAATGTTTCCCCCTAACTCCAAAATTAACGGGTCCGAGCGTTTTTTCGTAAAGGAACTGGGGTGCGACAAAATTGGCTATGTTTTGTTTTCAAATGGCCACCCTGTATATATACAATACTCCATTATATGTGTATTATTAAATAATCAAAAATCACCTAAATTAGTTAATTAATGTTTTATATTGTTTCTACTTATTTCATTGGTACTTTAGCACTGCAGCACCATTGAATGAATACCAGTGGTGGCTGCACCGAGCTTATAGGGTTGCTAGATGCCAGATATTCCGATTTAGGTGGGAGCCTTCAAGCCTCCAGCCTACCGATTGTTGTTGATACTCCGTCTGCCGCTTCAATCCTCAAAACTCCATTGGACATGTGACAATACCTTTTTTTTTTCAAGAATATTTTCAATAAATTAACGCTTTAAAATTGCTTTTAAAAAACCGGTGGTGCCTTTAAGTGAGGGTGGAGGGGGGATTGCCCCCATTTCCCGTATAGAGGCCGGGCACCCAAAGCAATTTTTAAGTTCCGACGCCTATGACAATGATATAGGTCTATATGATGACACTTCATTCAGAGGTTTTCCTGGCTCAGAAATAAGGATAACTTCAGCCATTTTTCACGCGAAATGCTGCATTTATGAGGTTTGTTAACTTAACAATAGCCTTCCGTGTTAGTTTCTTTAATATTTTTCCAGTAATAAGGTCATATCCTGGGGCTTTTTGTGAGTTGATGTTTGTCTGAATTTTTTTCGGAACTTCATTGGTAGTACCTAGCCTAATTTAAAGTTGTTCCATATTATGGATGGTATCATTAGGAGTGTCTTGATTTTTCATCTAATTGGAACATCTTTTGTAGGTATTTAGCGAAAATATGAGCTTTTTGTTGATATTCTTTCGCTATTTTTGTTATCTGCTATTCTGATAGGGGACAGTGTTTACACGAATTTTTCATCTTTTTAGTTGCCTTTTAGAGTGGATAATCAGTTTCTTTATCATCTGTTAGCCCTACTAGGTATCTATTAAAGGATTCTTCTTTGTGATTTAGGATTTCTCTTCTCAGTCTTTGGGTAGCCTGATTTAATATATTTTTATCTTCTGGTGATTTTGTCATCAGCCATTTATTTCTTAATTTTCTTTTTCTGGTAACAGTTCTCTCATCTCGATAGGATAGTTTTTTCCAGCTGTTAATCTTCTTACTTTCGGTGTGTTTTTCCATGCAGCTTGCTGGATTTCAACTGTAAACCTTTCCAGTTTTTTATCTAGCTGATTTTTCGTTATTATTATTATTATTATTATTATTATTATTATTATGGTCAGTTGAATAGTATTTGTTAAGTCCTCTTGAAAACCTTCCCAATTAGTTTTCCGCTTTGCTAGGATTGGTTTGGCTTCCTTTTGAATAACATTATCACTTAGAGTAAGGATTACTGCAGAATAGTCTGAATCCATATCAAAGTTTTCTTCTACTTGTGTATAGTTTGGTGAAATTTTCCTTAGAATAAAGAAATCCAAAAGGTCTGGAATCTTATTTGGGTCGGTGAGCCAATGGTTTTCAGAAGATTGGTATGTACAACCAAGTTTTGATGCAGCTCGGTGCAATTCTTTTCCTTTGACTGTGGTTATTCTTGAACCCCAGTTAGTGTTTTTGGAGTTGTAATCTTCATCGATTATAAATTCGTTACCTAGTTTTTTGAGTACACTGACATAATTTTCTTTTTTTCTGGTTGTGTCTTGGTGGGCAATAGATTGCAGCTATTGTAATTTTGCCCCCCTTAATGTTATTAGTGTTAATGGTTACTTGATTTTCTGGTTCTTGGATGCCTGGTTGCTCATAGTGGGAAATGTTATTTTTAATAATTAACGCACTTCCTCCTCTTGCTGCATTTGATAGATGGATAGTATGATATAAGTTATATCCTCTGAATTTAATGTATGACTTTGATGTAAGGTGGGTATCAGAAATCAGACATACAGGGTGGTCCTTAAGTAATTATACCTAACAGTATAGTAGATTCCTCACTTTAACATATTACGATTTAAACCAACTTGCTTTAATAAAATGTTGCTAATAAGGAATATAAAGGGTGTTAAAAGTGAAATTTTAAGATTTCCTTTTTGTAATAACTTTAACGTTTCTGGATATGTATACATAAAAAATTTGGAATAGAGGTTTTTGGGCACGAAAAATCATAATCTGGTACCTACTTCGATGTCATTTGTAGAGGGCGCTACAAAGCCTACATTTGTGGAATAAATGTGCTGTTTAAGTTAGCGGTATTTTTGTAAAAGAATATTAAAGCCACGTTATTTTAATAGAAGAAAAGTATACTTGTTAATAACCTTAAAACTTAACGGTTTACGATATAATCGCATTTTAGGGATCAGCTGCATGATTATTATTGAAAACATTTAGAAAACAAATTCGTAATATTTTAAAGTGAGGAATCTATCATACTTATATGTACAATTACTTAAGGACCACCCTGTATATCTATTTTTTGTACGTCCAAGAAAACTTGGATACCAGCTTGTTTTTAGAGAATACCATTGGCATTCCAAGTGGCTATTTTAATATCTCTTTTGTCCATTGGTGGTTTTGTTATATGTTTGGGGTTTATTTAATTCTTCTAGCTTCTAGAGCCTATCAGAGAGTTAATCTATTCTGGTTATTAGGGATAATAATAATAATAATTCATGAGTAGTACTTTCTGCTAAGCTGGTTGACTGTGCAGTATGCTGTGCAATTTGTGGCATGGGATTCATGGCTGGTTGTGACCTTTGAATTGGTTGCTTCTATGAGTTTGTTACCTGAGAATATGGTATTTCATTTCTGACAGTAGAAAACGCGTTTATGGGTATGGGTTTTTCTGCCTCGTCATTATTTTGGGTTTAGTGGTGTTATACTTCCTTATCTGAAAGGTTTCAGCTACCTCACATCTTCTGTAGTTAGCAGGATGTTTCATTAGGCAGTTAATATACTTCGGTTGTTGTTTTGGACTTTTTACACAATCCTTCGTATGATGTTTTCCCACGCACTTTACGCATCTGGATTCTTTTTGCAAAATTTTTGCTTATGTCCAAATAGCTGGCAGTTTTTGCATTGCGGAACTAGTTTTGACTTTCTTATGGTTTCTATTCTAACTCTTACATTAAGTATTGCTTTGATTTCGTAAATTTTCTTAATATCTTCAATATTTTCGAAATAATAGTGGCAATGGTTTTTTTATTTAGTGTTATCCTCGGTTAATTCTATTTCCTTCTTTATTATATTGACAGCTTCTTTACATTTTAATCCTTGACTTTGCAAGTCTTTAGCAATATTTTCTGGTTTAGATGTAGATGGTTCAACCATTACTTTAATGTCTCTGTTCTGTTTAATTTCATAGGAATGCCAATTATGTTTTTTACATTCAAGGTTGATATGATATTTTTGAAGTCTTCTTCTTGTTTAGTATTAATTTTAAACGGGTTATTGCTTAGAGCTGTGGCTTGAAAGAAAATATTATTTTCTGCCACTGTATGGGACAATTCTTCATACTTATTGATGTTGATTGCTATTGTCATGGGAAATTTCACTGTTTTTATGACTGTTTCTTTCTCTTGTTGTTGATTTTTGCTACCTCCAGGTTGAACAGGAGATGTTTCTGGAGAGGAGTGGGCTTTTCGTTTTTTTTATTGTTTCTGCTTTCCGCTGTTTTCCATTCTACTTCTTTGTTAATTTGATCGCCGATTTCTTTTGCAAGTTTGTCTTCATCAGTTTCATAATTCGTTGGAATTTTTATATTTTTCTTTGTTTAAAATATTAATTTGTTTCTGCATATTTTCCATATTGTTTTGCATTTGTTGCAATGCACTTTCTAGTTGCTGTTTTTCAGCTTTTTCCTTTATCCAAGCATTGTACAATGCCTGTTCATTCTGAGTTCTAGTTTGATTTTCATGAAATAAGGCCTGATTTTGTTGGGTTAGGAGATTTTCTCCCACTTCCATTGTTTCCATATTATTTGTTTGAGTTACCTAAGCAAGTCCTGTTTTTTTGCTCCAAAAGCACTTTGGCAGGTGACGATTCTATTTTATTATTTTTTATACACATTATAAAACTATTTTTAATGGCACATTATTATTTTTATTTTCAAAATATGGATCTAGAGAGCGAACAGGATATTTTTCGCCACTATGTTTTAGTATACCTACTAAATAATTTACCTTATTTTTTTTACAAAAAGGGTATTTCTCTTTGAACAATCCGACGTAATCCATCTTTTGGAAATGTTCACCAAACGGTGCGGCAACATACAACGAGCCATGTTTGAATTCAGTAGCGTCCGTCAACATCGTACCTGACGTCGTGTACAGATTCTGTATACCTTCAATCTTCAAAATATTGGCCAAATAGTTGCGTACTAAGTCGTACTGTTTTAACTCGTCGCGTTTAAACACGGCTTTCTGGGGCGCCCCGTCAGAGCCATTCACGGTAACGTATATAACCGTATATTGCATTTTCTCGGTTTTTGCCAAAAACTTTTTGCTGTCGTTGACTTTTTCGCCTTTTGATGTGGCGCTCGTTTTGGTGTCTAGTTGTGCCTGCCTGTTCAGTTCTGTAATAGAAAAACAATTAAGTAAGTAAATTAATTTGCAGAACTTAGTACAATGCCTGTTTGTAGTTAAAATGAAATACATTTGATCGGCCTAATAAAAGTTTTCGTTTAGATTTAACCATATTTCCATGGTTTTTACGGTAATAAACATTTTCTTGCAACAGATAAGTCAGACTTTATTTATTTATTTATTTATAGCCCTATCGTATGTAATTTAATTGATTTGGAATTTTGTATTAGTAAATATTATATTTTTAGAGTTATATAAGAATGGCGAATGCATTAGAAAGTATTGTAAGCACATGTACGCATAAACGATCTATTGGACATAAAGTATTATACAGGGTAGCTATTAAAGATGGAACCAAACCTATAGTGCTTAAACGGTTCAACATACAAAATCCAAAATTTCAGAATTTCAACTAAATATATTTGCGCATATTTTAACCCAAAAATTATTTTTTTTATAATTACAAAATTTTAAGCATGGCTGCCATCTTGATTTTTTAAATAGCAACATAGGTCATGTGATATACCATTTAAAAGGGTTTAACACCCTGATTACAGAAATGTATCACACACGGGGTCTAAACACAACAGAAAGGATATTATTAATATGGAGCGTAGGAGGCTGTGCATTTGACACAAGACGTCAAATATTAAATTTGAACAATTTCTTCGTTAAAAAGTTAGGTAATGTTTATTTTAATTATTAATTTATTTTATTTATAAATTATCTTTTTCATAAAAATGTAAAATACATGTAATAGGATGATGATTCTTTGGAACATGATTGGGATAACCTTGAGCCAATTGGTAATGATAAATTAGAAGTGGACTCTACGCTTGATAAAAAAAAATGTCATTACAAATGAATTACGAAAATGGACTTCTAATTATAATATCTCTCAAGCAGCATTAAAAAGATTACTAAAACTTAAATGTACAATGTAAATCTTAATGCTGATCCTAAAACAATCATGAAAACGCCGAGATGTGTGAATTTCTCCGGAGCTGCTTCAAAAACATTAAGAAAGACCTTGAGATATCTATAAACATCAATATAGATGGACTACCTCTTCACAAGAGCACGAATAAAATTTTTTGGCCTATTTAATTTAACATACATGAATATACAAACTAATGATGGAAATAATCGAATATTTTCGAGAATCGAGTACTAAGGGTTCGAGTATTTCACGGAATCGGGTATTTTATTGAATACCGAGTACTGAGTACTTGCATCAACCGAGTAGCTTTATATCAGGTGATCTCCTTAAAAACCCATTCAGACAGTCCTTCCCAGCTAATCCCCTTTTCTTGTCGAATTTATGGGCAATGTCATGTTGTTTAGCATATCTAAAAGCTAGTCGCCTAAGTCACCTGGGTGTTAGGCCATAAAATAGCTTTGCCAGCGTTAAAACGTACTCTTTTAACTCAGATTCTATTTTCTCTGAAAACACAGGCTTGCAACTCAAACAAGGAGGCTTTGGCTAATTTTCTGAAAGTTTTTTTCGGAGTGTCGATTCAGGAATATTGAAGGCCCTTCCTACATCACTTATTTTTCTGCCATCATTTCTTATCGCAAATAATGCATTTTGTAAATCTTCTTCCTTATATGAAAGAATTGTGGTTTTCCTTGTAAAATTTCTCGGCATCTATTAAAATTAAATTACGTGTGGGGTAATGGTGCGCATCAGCGCGCATCATTACCCCTTTAGACATTAAATGACAATCTTTAATACAGTTAGCAAACTACATAACCTAACAATGTAAACCAAGCATCAATAGATGCAAAAGATCCTACTTTTCCATTAAGTAAATATATCTTATCGATTAAAGAAAAAATTGGACTCACCGGCTTATTTTTCGATGTTAAAAAATTACAGAAACTGGCTGGATTTCAAATAAACAGGGCTCGTTCCGTGCAAACGTAAACAACTGATATGAGTAATGGTGTACAGTAGAAAGAAGAGAGCGCAGCACTAGTCGGTGGCGCTTAAAAGCCCGCGAAATATTAGATGCCATGAGTTTTTATTGTTGTTATATCTATAGCAATGGTACTCATGTATCATCAGTTACATTCAGGATATAGCAGAATTGGATATATGTGGCTTTTCTTTATGTTACCAAAGCAAAAAGATGTAATAGTCGAATTTGAAAATACAACTGTCCTGATCAATTAGCAATAAGTGAAATAAAAGCTTCTATTTTAAAAACAACGTTTACTAATACAATTTAAAAATTACCTTCAGTAGTTTTATAACCTCCTATGGGCATTCTGAGTGATTTACACGTGGCTCCAATGCCTATATATTTTCTTCGAGGATCCAGTCCTTCAAAATCGTTTATCATCTTTCTGGTTTTTAACTCCACCAATGTTTTAATAGCCCCAAATGTGGGTAGCATTGTCTGAGTGAGATGGTTCATAATCACAGACCAATTCCTAAACTCCTTAGGGTTTATATTGAACACGTAACATTTGGGATCACCGTTGGCCCAAACTTTTATCTCTTTTGTTCTACCTGGGTACTGCGACATGCGAGCGCATGCAGCTTGTTTTTGTGACATTTTCGAGTTTTTCAGTTACTGGTAATTTTGAATATGTATAATTGATTGACGTTGTTAATAAATATCATGTATGCTTAGTGTCAGATGTGTCAGAGGTGTCAGTTTTTTGGCACATACTTTGATTACTATACGGTGCAAGAGAGAGGTCCGACACGCCCAACATAGGGCGCGGCCATTTTGATGCCTCTAGCACAGTTTATAGCTAAATAATTAGTTCGCTCACTCTGCGTCGGCACTTTTGATCTCAATGTTCCAGTTTATACACTGCGCAACTCGGATAATACAATATATGACAACCGCCTATAATAAAACAGCAGTCTTCTGCGCATCCTGAATTTGTATTCCTGGAGTGGATGTAATTTTGGAACTTTCAACTGGTCCGAGTGAGCTAACTGATTCTTTAGCAATAAACTGTAACTCCAAAAATAATATTCACTGACACTGACAGCAGCAAGCAAAATATCAGGTGCGTTTTAATCTGCTTCCGGAATTGTCGGTTTAGTCGTTTTAACCTGTCAGATTAAAACAAGAAAACCGACAATTCCGAAGCAGAAGTGGATGATTAAAAGGCACCTATTAAAAATATTGCGCCAAGATGTAGGCAACACGTAATAAGGCATCAAAATGGAGGAGTTTTCTACTGTTGTATTTATTTCTAAATAAGTCTCGCATGTTTTAATTTATAAATTATTTAATTTTATCTATACAAAATGCAAATTTAGTAAGTATAATTTTGTGTCTAATTTTTTTTAAATATACCTTAACCGCTTAACGTGTTTATCCGAATTAACTCGGGCCAGTCCATACTGAAAATTCTCGCTCAACCGAGTTTTTTTTTTTTTTTTTTTTTTTTCGATTTATGGCCTAGGTGTATACACCTAATATGCCAGTCTCAAATTTGTGTTTAAATTCTCAATCATGTGTGTTCTGTGTAGGCTTTGTTACTGTTTCCTAGCGCCACTTTAGGAACAGCACTGTTAATTAGAACCCAACAGTGAATGGTCGAGTGGGGAATCCTACCAAGGCATCAGAATTAGGTCGGGAAAATAACAAATTGCACGTATATCGCGCGCCGGCCCGAGTTTACTCGTTTTTACTGCGGTAGTGGGGTCTGTGTGGTGTTTGGCTATTTTGAAGGTCAGAAAAGGACCCCGCAATAATCTTATGGAAATTGGGTTTCTGTCAAATTGTCTGAGTTTTTAATATGTTGTAGATTTTGTCATCCTGAACAAAAGTTCTATGGGCACAAAGTGCTAAAATGAATATTTTGGCAGCTACGGAGCTGCCAAAGCTCCCCTGACCCGTTGCAAAACTATTCTTTTTCAATACTATTTACAGATGTCAAAAGAATATTTTGCTATTTTGAGGTCACTGGATTCAACCCTGATGACAGATTGGACAAATTGACCGTTGACAGCTGTCAATTCACGGTCAACGAGGAATATAAAAGTAAATATCCTCTTTTCACATTGAGAGTTTGGGTATTGAGGTCGTTGACAGTTGACAGCTGTTAACTGTCAATTTGTTCAATCTGACATGAGAGTTGAATTCAGCGACCTCAAAAACTCAAACTGTCAATGTGAAAAGAGAATATTTACTTTTATATTCCTCGTTGACCGTAAATTGACAGCTGTCAACGCTTAATTTGTCCAATCTGACATGAGAATTGAATTCAGCGACCTCAAAAACCCAAACTCTCAATGTGAAAAGAAGATATTTACTTTTATATTTCTCGTTGACAGTCAATTGACAGCTGTCAACTGTTAATTTGTCCAATCTGACATGAGAATTGAATTCAGCGACCTCAAAAACCCAAACTCTCAATGTGAAAAGAGGATAATTACTTTTATATTCTTCGTGGACAGTGAATTGACAGCTGTCAACTGTCAATTTGTCCAATCTGACATGAGGGTTGAATCCAGTGACCTCAAAAACATTACCCTATATATTAGAATTAAAATTTGCAACGGATCAGGGGAGCTTTGGCAGCTCCGTAGCTGCCAAAATATTCATTTTGGCACTTTGTGTCCATGGAGACTTTTGTTCAGGATGACAAAATCTTCAACAGACAATTTGACAGAAACCCAATTTTCATAAGATTATTGCGGGGTTCTTTTGTAATAGAGTACATGCTGTATCAGGCGCTTGCCGCTCGCATTCACGCTTACGCGTCCGCACGTGTGTTTAAGTCTGAACTAGTAGTGGTATGAATTTTTCATCCTTATTTTTACATTTAATAGATTCCGACAGCGATAGTAGTTTTACTGGTTCAGATACACAGGATAAAATTAACGAAAGCGGGTCAGACACAAGTCTTGATATTTAATCAAGTAGTTTAGATTCCAGCGACTCTGACATTGCACTTTCTCGTATTTGATGCAAGTTACAGCCAGATGCCCCAGAACCACCAGAATTTCCATTTATTTCTTCACCCACCGTGTATTTCTAGCCAAGTAATGATTTTAATGATGTGCTTCAGTTTGTTGAACAGTTTTTTGATGACGCCTTTATTGGACACATTGAACGTGAAACCAACGAATTCGCAAATCAAAAGAATTGGTTACATACAACTTCTAACGAATTGAGAGTTTTTCTGGGTCTCATAATATTGCAGAGCATTGTCAAGAAACCTGAAATGAGATAATATTGGTCAAAAAATCCCTTATTAGTCACTCCATTTTTTGCCAAATGCCTGAGCAATAAATGATTTAAAGCAATTATGTCCAATATAAATTTATCCAATAATAAAGATTTTGATCCTGATCAATCAATACCTAAATACAATTTGGCCTGTGTATGAAAATTTGGTAAAAAAATGTCACGAATTAGTTACGCCTGAAAAACACATTGCGATTGATGAGAGTCTTTTGTTGTACAAAGGACGACTTGGTTGGATTCAATATATTCCACTAAAGAGCAACCAAAAGTGACTACGTGCGGAATTTTATTATATGTATATACTGGTAAGCAGACAAATATTGACCAGGAATTTAAAAACCTTCCAGTTTCCTATCAAGTAGTTATGTCGCTGTCAGAAGGTCTACTGAACCATGGACAACTTCTACAACTCTCCACAGCTTACTGACCTCCTGATTTCGAAGAAAACGAATGTTTACGGCACAGTAAAGTTAACGCAAAGAGAAATACCTAAAGAACTAAAAGAGATAAAATCGAAGAAGGGAGAAGTCATTGGTTTCCAAAGGGGGACGGAAGGTATCCCTTATCAAGTGGAAAGATAAAAAGAACATTGCTTTGATATCGACTGTAAATATGAACAATTGTTTGGAAGTGCAAACAAAAAGAGAAAAGAAAAACAAGCCAAAAGTTGTCGTGGATTACAACAGGAGATTAATTAAAGCTCAAGTGTAAGAAACTTATAAAAACTTTCTGAACTCTGTTGAAAATAGTATCATTACCAATCCAGAAAATTTCTGGTCTTACATTCAACAAAAAAAGGTAACACAATAATTCCTGGAAAGGTATTTTGCAATGAAAATGTTTTTACTACACCAAGTTCTATTGTTAAAGGTTTCGCAAACTACTTTAAATATGTCTATTATATTCCAACACAATTTATTGCTAACAATTCCGAAGTAAATAATATTCCATTGTTTAGGATTAGCATATTTATTGTAGTTAGTGTCTTCATAGCTCATTGTATTATAATCATAGCTACAACATGTCTATGTCATGTAATTTTTGAAAGAAATAAAAAGGTAGAAAACCGTCACACAGTTTCTTTCACATAATATTTTTATACAATAATAACCTCACACAATAGTCCTTCCAACAAGTCATAAATTAACAGAATTAGTAATTAAAAATGAACACATCAGTCTACTTCATGCTGGTCATCAAGCAGTGCTCACATCCCTCAGAACAAGATATTGGCCTTTAGCATCCAGAAATATTATAAAAAAAGTAATTCACAAATGCCTAATTTGTTCGAGATTAAAACCAGTAACTCAAATTCCACTGATGGGCGATTTACCTCAACATAGAGTTACCCGATATCGTCCTTTTTTAAAAGTAGGAATTGATTATGCGGGCCCTGTAAAAATTAGAGAAAGTCGCAGACGTGGAAGAATCAATATCTACTTGTGTTACATAGCAGTTTTTGTTTTTTTTTATAACTAAAGCAGTTCATATGGAACTAGTTTCAAGTTTAAATTCAGAAGCGTTTCTGTCTTCATTAAAAAGATTCATGTCCAGACTTGGAAAATGCACAGATATCTTTTCAGATAATGCAACGAATTTTGTTAAGGCAAATAAAACATTAAAAGAATTAGCCATTCTCTCATCAGAAGAACATTGGAGTACAATTTATGATTATCTAGCAAATAATACAGTGAACTGGCATTTTATTCCACCTGGGTCCCCAACCTTTGGTGGATTATGGGAAGCCACCGTAAAATCACTAAAACATCACTTAAGGCGAATTACAGGCAATGCTGTATTCACTTATAAAGAATATCTCACTTTCCTTGTTCAAACAGAAGGTATTTTAAATTCCAGGCCAATAACCCCCTTTTTAGAAAACCCCAATGATTTTCAAGCCCTTGCTCCTGCACACTTTTTAATTGGAGAGGCTCTAACAACTACCCCTGAGCCAAAATTATACGAATTTCCCAATCAATCGGTTAGACAGATGGAATCATATCCAAAATTTGTATTAGCACTTATGGAAAAGATGGTCATTAGAATATTTATCAACTCTTCAGCAGCGAACTAAGTGGACAAGAGAAACATCAAACTTCCGAGTTAATCAACTTGTTCTTTCTCCGCTCCACTGGAGAATGGGAAGAATAATTGAAGTTTATCCTGGGACAGACAAAACAGTGCTTGTAGCTTTGTTAAAAACCGCATACAGTGTACTTAAACGCGCAGTAAATGTATTATGTCTATTGCCTGTAGAAAACTAATTTTTTTATGTTGTCATTTTTATATTATGTACGGGTATTTCAGTTATATTAGGTATATTATAAAACGTTAATGATTTTTTTTTTAAAGTTTATCCTCTCAAGGGGGGCGGTATGTTTAGAATTAGCATATTTATTGTAGTATCTTCATGGCTCATTGTATTATAATCATAGCTACATGTC